CAAGTATTTGATGACCCATTTAGGCTATAAATAGCCTGGCCTTCTCATGGTTTTGGCATCCAAAAAAAATTGAGTGTGAATTTGCTCATAAAAGCAAAGTGTGTGAGAGTTTTGGATGTAATTGGGTTTTGGGTGTAAGCCATTTTGCCTTGTATCTCTTTATTTCCATAGTGAATTATTGTTCTGTCTTCTCCCCGTGGACGTAGGCATAGCCGAACCACGTAAATTCTTGTCTCGTTTGTGTGTGCCATTTTATTTTCTTGTCATTAATTTTCTCTTGTTCTCATAAACTCCTATTTGATCTTTATTTCATAACAAATTGGTATCAGAGCTCGGTTTGTGTATTGTGTACAAATATTGTTCACACATACAGTACTGTTCACAGATACTTTTCGGGTACTGCTCACAAATATGGTACTCTTCACTTGAGAAAGGAGTCTTTTGTTACAAGTGAATCTTAGGGTGTTAAGCAGCAGGTGGAGAATGACTATGAAGCTCCAGGAAAACAAGTCAACACTCCAGTTCAGCCAAATGTTGAAGAGGTGTAAGATGATCAAGTACCAGATGAACAACAGTACAATATTGCTACAGGGAGATAGAAAAGGCAGATTAAACCTCCTCAGAGGTATGCTTATGCAGATTTAGTTGCTTATGCTTTGTCTGTGGCAGAAAATATTGAAGATAAAGAGCCTTCCACCTACCAAGAAGCTGTTACTGGAAATGAATTTGCCAAGTGGACTGTTGCTATGAATGAGGAGATTGAATCTCTTCATAATAATCAGACATGGGAGTTGGTGAAACCTCCTAAAGGCCAGAAGATTGTTGGTTGCAAATGGATTTTCAAGAAAAAGGAAGGAACTCCAGGTGTTGAAGATGCAAGTTACAAAGCACGTTTGGTAGCAAAGGGTTATAGTCAGAGGGAAGGTGTGGATTTCAATGAAGTATTCTCACCAGTTGTGAAACACACCTTTATCCGCTTATTACTTGCCATGGTTGCTCTATTTGACATGGAGCTTGAGCAACTTGATGTCAAAACAACTTTTCTACATGGTGAGCTTGAAGAAGAAATTTATATGCATCAGCCAGAGGGGTTTGTTGTTCAGGGAAAGGAACACCACGTTTGTTTGTTGAAGAAATCCTTGTATGGATTGAAGCAATCTCCAAGGCAGTGGTATAAGAGGTTCGACACTTTTATGGTTGGACATGGCTATTTGAGAAGTAGCTATGACAGTTGTGTCTACTATTGGAAGCTCTCAGATGGTTCTTTTGTATACTTCTTGTTATATGTTGATGACATGCTTATTGCTGTAAAAGACATGTCAGAAATCAACAAGTTAAAATCTCAGTTAAATACTGAATTTGAAATGAAAGATCTCGGTGCAGCGAAGAAGATTTTGGGCATATAAATTCAGAGGGATCGTCAAGCTGGCAGATTGAGTTTGTCACAGAAGAGTTATATTGAGAAAGTGCTTGAGCGGCCTAACATGCAGAATTCCAAGCCTGTGAGCACACCACTTGCTGCTCATTTTTGTCTTTCTGCAGCTTTATCACCGCAGTCCGAAGAGGAGAAGAAGCACATGTCACGTGTTCCTTATGCTAGTGCAGTTGGTAGCTTGATGTATGCAATGGTTTGCACTCGCCCTGATATTTCACATGCAGTCAGTGTAGTTAGCAGATATATGGATAATCTAAGAAAAGAGCATTGGCTAGCCGTGAAGTGGATTCTTCGGTATTTGAAAGGTACTACAGATATTGGCTTAGTTTATTAGAAGAGCTGTGATGATTTTGGCAGTGTTGTTGGTTTTGTGGACTCCGACTACGCTGGTGATTTAGACAGAAGAAGATCTCTGACAAGATACGTCTTTACTCTCTCAGGTTGTGTAGTTAGTTGGAAAGCAACTTTGCAATCCACAGTTGCTCTCTCTACTACAGAAGCAGAATATATGGCGGCCACTGAAGCAGTGAAGGAAGCCATTTGGTTGAGAGGTTTGGTTAGTGTTTTGGGTTTGCAGCAAAGCTCAACTGTTATTTATTGTGACAGTCAAAGTGCGATATATTTGACCAGAAATCAAATGTATCACGAGAGAACCAAACACATTGATGTCAGATATCATTTTATTCGGGATGTCATATCAGAAGGAATTCTTACTTTGAAGAAAATTGGTAGAGCTGAAAATCCGGCGGATATGATGACAAAGTCCATTCCGGCTCTCAAGTTCAAGCATTGCTTAGACTTGGTTGGTATTATCAAATTCTAAAATTGCCCTTAGGGGCTTAGTGGAGAAGATAGACTGTTTTGTAGAAATACAGTGGCTCATTTGAATTTTCGCCAAGGTTGAGATTTGTTGAATTTTTGTGGCTCAATCATTACCCATGACGTCATCAATATTCTTGGCCTCCAAGAATGTGTGCCCAGCAAGCTTCCATGCGTGAGCAGCAAGTTGGCAAATGTTAGTCTCTTCAGTACTTGATCAGCAAGTATTTGATGACCCCATTTAGGCTATAAATAGCCTGGCCTTCTCATGGTTTTGGCATCCAAAAAAAATTGAGTGTGATTTTGCTCATAAAAGCAAAGCAAAGTGTGTGAGAGTTTTGGATGTAATTGGGTTTTGGGTGTGAGCCACTTTGCCTTGTATCTCTTTATTTCCATAGTGAAATATTGTTCTGTCTTCTCCCCGTGGACATAGACATAGCCGAACTACGTAAATCTTTGTCTCGTTTGTGTGTGCGCCATTTTATTTTCTTGTCATTAATTTTCTCTTGTTCTCATAAACTCCTATTCGATCCTTGTTTCATAACAGGTTGCGGCCTCCTCCTACATCTGCTCCTACTCTCAATCACTTATCCGTGCCACCCCTACCTTAAGGTAACATCACTTTTGAACTCTCCGCACCTCCCCGTCGCTTTTCTCGTGTTTTTAAACCTCCTGACCGCTTTGGATATTTTGCTCTCCTTCCCAATATAGATTATATTTCTGTTCTTTCTTATTCACATGCCAAAGAACTACCATGTTGGCAAGATGCTATGACAGAGGAGTTAATTGTTCTTGAATCAAATCACACTTGGGATTTAGTTCCTCGACCTTCGAAAGTTCAAGTAATTGGAAGTAAATGGATTTACTCTCTCAAGTTGAAACCTGATGGTAGTTTGGAACGATACAAGGCTCGCTTTGTTGCTCAGGGGTATAAACAAGAGTATGGTATTGATTATGAAGAAACATTTGCTCCGGTTGCCAAGATGCCCACTGTTCGAATTCTACTAGTTGTTGTTGCCATTCGAGGATGGCCTCTTTGGCAAATGGGTGTTAAAAATGCTTTTTTGCATGTGAATCTTCAGGAAACAGTTTTTATGAAACCACCACCAGGATATGTCTGTCCTCCCAACCATGTCTGCCACTTGCACAAATCCCTTTACGGTCTTAAGCAAGCTCCTCATGCATGGTTTGAAAATTTTCGCAGTGCCATCATCCAAGATGGTTTTCACCAAAGTCCTAATGATAACTCCTTGTTTGTTAAGCTCACTCGAGGTTCCACATGGTTACTGTTATATGTTGATGATATGATCATTATAGGAAATGATGAATCAGGAATTACTTTTCTAAAGACCTACTTAATGCGATCATTTAAAATGAAGGATTTGGGACCTCTCACGTACTTCCTCGGAGAAATATGCAGAAGACTTGTTATCATGGGCTCATCTAATAGATTCAAAACTCTGTGATACACCATTGGAATTGAATGATAAGCTACGGAAAGATGATGGACCTCCTCTTCTTGATCCTACTATGTATCATCGTCTTGTGGGAAGCTTGATCTATCTCACTATGACTCGTCCAGATATATCTCATGCAGTTCAAATTGTCAGTAATCCTCATAAGCCCCATCTAGCTGCAGTTCATCGTTTTATTCGTTATATTCGGGGAACTATGGATTGAGGGCTCTTCAACTCTTCAACCTCTTCCTTGGAACTTCACTGTTATGTTGATGCTGATTGGGTTGGCTGCCAAGATACACAACGATCTACTACAGGTTGGTGTATGTTTTTAGGGTCATCACTCATCTCTTGGAAGTGCAAAAAACAGCAAACAATTTCAAAATCATCTGCTGAGGCTGAATACAGGTCTATGTCGTTTGCTAGTAGCGAGGTGATATGGTTTCGTAGACTTCTTCTAGAACTTGGAATTCCAATTCTTGGTCCTACTCTCCTCTATGTTGACAACACTAGTGCTATACAGATTGCTCAAAATCCCATGTTTCATGAAAGGACCAAGCATATAAAAGTTGACTGTCATTTTATTCAACACCATGTTCTCACAGGTTCTATACAGCTCTATCATGTTTCGTCTGAGAAACAGCTTGCAGATTCATTCACAAAAGCCTTAACTTCGTTCACATCATGAATTTCTAGCGACCAAATTGATGCTTGATTAGAATCCACATCAATTTGGTGTGTGGGGGGGGTCTAAATAGTGACAATAATTATGCCTTACAATTAGGGATTTTATTAACCTAGAGTTGACTTGCCCTAAATAAGGTTGCTGTAATTATTGGATTAGATTAGTTAACTTACCTTTTAGATAGCTGCTGTAATTACTACTCCTTGATTGTTTGTTTGGCAAATCTTGTATTATAAATTGTAATGAGAACCAAAGGGAACGTATTACCTCCACATCCGAAAATCTGTTGTGGCTCTGTTTTCTCTTATTTACATTATTTACTTGGTCCTTAAGTTAATAATAAAATCTCTAAGACAAGTCGGTATGTATTCACGAGAGAATTTTGAGTGTTGCTGAAACGTGAGCTGCATAACATAGAATTAGTGAGGCGTATAGATTGTGATAATTTAAGATGGTCTTATCTTTTCTATGTTCCTGAATTTTCAAGTTCGACATGAATGTGTGTGGGTGACACTCGAAATAGAATTACTGAAATTGTGAAGTATACTCCATTCACCATCTATAGAAGGGGCAGCTAATTTTCTTGGCTTTTCTTCTGCTACAGGTCCTCACAGAACCAAAAAATGCTCTTGGCAAGCAGTACAAAAAATTATTTAGGATGAACAATGTAAGCATTTGGCCTATACGTCTCTTGTCTGGATCTCTCTCTCTCTCTCTCTCTTTGTGATGCAATCAGCGGTCAAATGAAATTAATTATGCTTGCATGTGCCTTGTATAATTTTTTATTCACTTCAGGTGAAGCTGCATTTTACTGATAAAGCATCGAGATTGATTGCAAAGAAAGCAATGGCTAAGAATACTGGTGCTAGGGGTTTAAGAGCCATATTGGAAAGCATTCTAACTGAATCTATGTATGAGGTACACAAGGGCCAGACCATCAGAGACTAATTGTTATATCGTGGCGGCTATCACAACATGTTAGATCAGAATGTAGGTGACTGCTGTATAGAATTCTAATGGTGTATTTGCTGATGTAGAAACATCTTTTTCTTGTTTTTCAGATCCCAGATGTAAAGACAGGAAATGATAGAGTAGATGCTGTTGTGGTTGATGAGGATTCGGTGGGTTCAGTAATTGCTGCAGGATGTGGAGGAAAAGTACTTTATGGAGATGGTGCATTGGAACGTTATCTTGCAGAGACCAAGTTGAGAGACCGAGTGGTATGGTTTCATGTTTCCCCGCCGCAACTCTGCTTTTTCTTACCAGTTATAACATTCAATAGTTTCAAGTATGATTTCCATGTGGTGGAGAACAATATCCTTACCATGGACAGTGGATAATTTGTAGCTATAGTTCAACCTAGATTATTTTGTTGATCTATTATTATTATTCCATTGGCAGCATTGAAATATCTTGATTTTTCTTTTGTTTCTTTATAGGACAATGGTGACACAGCTGACGGAGCGTTGCAGGATGGTGAATCAGATATCTCATCAAGAGCGATGAGCATGTAACATTTTTACTACCACAGTTATTTTACTGTGTAGAAGAATGTCACTTTTTTCATTTGTATTTTAAAATCACATTCATACGCTTGGTGTAATTATGTACCGCATTGTAGAACAGCATAGCTTCTGGTTCATTTTTAATAGCAGAAAAGTAAATGAGAAAAGAAAATGTAGCATTCTTTACAATAAGCACATTTTGCAAAATGTTCCTTGCAATAAAGGCAGGCGTCAATTTACACGAATATATGTTACTGCATTTCAACCACTTTCAGGTGGGTACATTTTTACAATTTATTTGGAATGAGTGCAAAGTATTGTCTTTTTGTTTTTTCGGTGTAGGTAAGTAAGCTAACAAACATCTGGATAAATTATTAGGGATAAATTATTAGGTAGTACATATCACGTAATCCTAACCAATGAAATGAATAAAAAGTTTACACATTTAGTTATATGTTATCCCTTGATTAGTCGGGGTAATATGATACCACGTGATCCCGGACTACGTAATACCGAGAACCATTTACTTGACTTTTTTTTGTATATGATCCATCTTTGTGTGTTCCATACCTGAGGCCTCCGCCAGCGACTTAACGAAACACTAAACACAGTTTTTTCAGCACCACACAAAGTTAGGGTGGTTCTCTGCCTCACGCCTGGGCTTGGCCCATTAGTAATTGGGCCTGTCTCCAACTATAGTGGCAAAGAGCAATGTAGGGCTTAAAGCTTGGGTACTGCAGCCCAAAATACATTGCGTCTCCCCAACGCTCCACATTTTTTTTTTTTTTTTTTCCCAACATGCACGTTTCCACTAAAGTTCGAACTTCAGACCTCTCTTTAAAAAGTAGTTGTTTGGTACTATTAGGTCACTGGCCTGTTGGTACCTCTACGCTCCACTAGAGCGAAGTAATGATGACTGTTGACAATTGAACCCAATACGACCCACATGATAAGCTCTACATCACGAGTGTTTTTGTACTTTAAGTAATACAGGCATTTACAGTTGCACATACATGACAGTTGAAGCACAAAATTTAGAGGACCTTCCTTCCACTAGATGGGAGCAAGAATTGGAACATTTTGGTGGTGGTGGTGGTAGGTGGAATATATGTTGATTAACTACGTAATGGTACTTCACACAACGCACCTGTAAACACAATATTGTACCACATTTTGAAGCAAACGCCTTTTTCATCCATAGTTTTATATTTCAGAGAAGAATTTAATATATAAGAAAATAAATTCACATAGTATTAATGATTGTTAGTGTAATGGACCTAATGGTGTGTGCGTGTGTTATGTAAAATTCACAAGAAACAAAACCAAATGAAACTTGTAGGTGTGGTATTGGCAAGAGTATGTATGCAAATAATTAAGGAGTTTTAAAGGAGTTGTAAACTATGGAGACAGTTTCTAGAAATGACAAATTGCAAAATTGATGGTTATATTCGAAGGATGAAATCACTCAGAGAATCCAAATATATAATCATCTCATTTTCATATCTAAATACCAAAATCTTACTTTTTTAAAATAATAAAGTAAATGAAATCAAGCTGAACTAATATGTTTTGCATTTTAGGCCTTGTGTCTCTTTTATGCATGCTTATTTAAATTCTCAAAAAATAAACCAGGCCGTTCTTTATAGACTCAGGGTATATGTTTGCTACTTTGAGATTCCACTTCCTAATTGTTTAGCAGAGATGAAAGCCACGATTTATGCTATAGAATATACTTTAGAATATATTGTGATTTGATTTAATTTCCTTTCTTGTAATATGAGCATGTGCTCTTTTTATATAAATAGTAGAGCTGTGAATGAGTGATTTATCTCATGCAAGTCTTTACACAATTATCTCATTTTTCTTCTTTTTATATTTCTACTTGATATTAAAGCCAGGGTGGTCCGACATCGCCTATCCGGGAGGTATCGGGTAAGTAGGGTGGTCCGATCTCAATGAGGGCATTTCAAGTTTGGCACCACCTATGCAGAAATGATTTGAGGAAACATAGTTGTTTCTTTTTATGATCTGAGGAGACATTGTTGATTCTTTCATCTACAATGTTTAAACATATATATGAAGGGGAATGGTCTGAGGAGACATTGTTGCTTCTTCCATCTACATGTTTTAAACATGTGTATGGTCTAAGGAGACATTGTTGATTGTTTACGATCTGAGGAGACATGATTGGTTATTTATGGTCTGAGGAGACATGATTGGTTGTTTATGGTTTGAGGAGACATTTTTTATTTATTGATTGGCACTTGATTAGTTATTTATGGTCTAAGGAGACATAATTGGTTGTTTATGGTCTGAGGAGACATTTTTCATTTGTTGATCGACACTTCATCTAAGAGAAAATTATCGCTAGTCAGATTTGCACTCCATTGTCACAAGCTCTCAGCAGCTTGCAGACAATCTGACAAAGAGCCTCAACAAGATTGTGTTTGTGAATGCATTGTACAAGTTGAGGATTTCAGATATCTACGCACCAACTTGAGGGGGAGTGTTTGCAGATATAATGGCCACGATTTATGGAATGACTTATCATATTAGCAGAGATTTGATTATGCTATAGAATATGCTTTAGAATATGCTGTGATATGATTTACATTTGATTTAACTTTCTTTGTTATAATATGAGTCTTTTATCAATAAATAGTATAAGTGTGAATGAGTGATTTATCTCATTCAAGTATTTACACAATTCTCTCTTTCTTCTTTTGATATTTCTACTCTAATCTTTGACCCATACTGTAACGACCCGAACTGGAGGTCCGAATCGCTAACCGGGTCGTTAACCAAACCTGATGACACACTAGGGGTAAAATGGTCATTATACAATATGAGAGGATAATTTGTCTTTAAACTAGTCAAATGAAGTTTAAAACAAAGCATTCTAGTCATTCTATGACATTTCGAAGAGGCTCTACGGTCATTGGTTATGATTTCCCAAAAGTGTTATTACTCTGTTTAAGGAAAATTATGACATTATCCCACTAAAACAACCACATCTCTCAACATGAATGGGATTTGACGGTGAAGTTGGTCTCAATAGAAAGCTAACTCAAATTCCTTGAAAATGGACTCAAGAATGACTCTATTTGGGTTTGGAACGAAGAAGTTATGACCACATGAAGTCAGGTGATCTAAATTGACAAACTGTGAAAGCCAAAAAGTGCACTGGAGGGCTTAAACCGGTTCCACATGGGCAGAATGCCTAAACGTGAACCAATAACACCCTTGAACCGGTTCTATGAAAGTTGAACCGGTTCCAGATAACCAGAACCCTGAAAATGCTCAGAAAAGCCTAAAATCAAGCACTTGTGCACATAGGCACCCCCTTGGTCCCCTAGTGACCCTATTTAAAGTCTAAACCTATCCCAAATCATGCATATGACAATGAAATTAACACAACTAGGTATCATTACATTCTAATAAAACTGTACATGAGTCAATTACATCACTTAAAGTCAAATAAGTCTGTAATACATCAAGGTATGGCCTTAGGGCCTTACATATACCACTTTGAATCAAAATGAATTCTCATCCATGAACTAGATACCAAAATGTCACCTATTATAATTTACAACAAAAAGGGTATTATACACATCAAGAACAAAAGAGTCCAAGTCCGTTAACCCAGCTAAACTTGTGGTGGATTGTCGTTCGCCACCTGAAAAATATTTTTAATTAATGGGTAAGCCAATCGCTCAGTAGGAGGTGCCTAAGACACACCTCTTATAATTGCATGAATCCAAAACAAGAAAAATAAAATAATAAATAAAAAAAATAAAATAAAATAAAATAAAATTTCGGGGTCATGCCATTTCCGGGAAAAATATAACCACAATATCAACAACAATAATCCAAGTCATAAATGAACCATGCCGTGTTATGGAATGCAATGTCATGCAATGTCACTCCCCATTTTCAAAACCTTTTCCATCATCATTTACAAACCGTTAGTGTAACCCGTCCCATTTCAACTCCATGGCGGCATGAGAGAAGGGTTGGCTTGCTGTCCCTGACCCATGACAACTCCATGGCTTTATTTGGGGCGCAGGTAACTCAACCACGCTAGGGCAGTCTCTCTAGTTCCCTCTAGGTCACACTAACGCCACAGACCCTAGGCAACTCCTAGGCGACCAGGTTTTCACAACAAATTTCCAAATCTTTTCCTTTCAAAACCATTTCCCTAAAAACCATTTCTTTTCCATTCTTAAAATCCAATTTCCGTTTCTCCGGCCCAATGCCATGCATGAAGTGCCTCATGCTTTTCAATGCTTTCACAATATTAAAATTTCATACGCCTTAACCACACCATGCTTGCATAATAGGAAGATAATTTATCATATAAATTCTTCACAAAATCAACTTCACATTCATAGTATTAAGCATGTTAGGCACATAATAACTCAAATTTAGCATGCTCCTTTACACCATTCAAATAAGCAAATAACCAAACCCAACTATCATATAATATACAACATTCACATTTAATACACAAAGAACCTCATAACCATAAACAAGTTTATAGAATTTAATTATGCTAGGGCCAAATCATAAGAATTTAATTCACTAAAATCAAAGAATGTATGCATCAGAAACCCATACCTCATTGAAGCTAGCCAAACAAACCCCAAGGCCTCCCAAAAATTGAAATTCTTCCAAACCCTAGCAACCATGGTCTCAAAATGTGGCCCTTGACATGCTCTTCAACTTTCTCTTCTTGCTCTTCCTCAAAATCTAACTCTACCCTCTCCAAAATCAAGCTTTAATCTATGAAGATATCTATGTATTTATAGATAGAGATAAAGAGAGATGGAGAAGGGTTAGAGAGAAGGAGTATTGCTAGAAATGAGGAGGAAAATGGGGTGTTAGTAAAGTTCTCTAAATGGTCATGTGGTCTCAAGAATGCCATGTGTCAACTTTTGGTTGATTTATAATTCACGCTAAGTTACTATTATACCCCTACTCTTCCAATGAAATTCCATTCCTACCCCACAAATATCTACTTGTAATATATAGATACATGTATATGTATAAATGTGTGAAAAGACTGCAATGCTCCTCATTGCCAATGGCAAAACCAGGAGAAGTTCCCGAACTCGAAAGTCGTCCCGACTCCCAAAAATTCTAAAATCCAACCCGTCACTTATAAATGACCAAAAATAATTAAAATTACGTTTCTAAAATTCTCGACTCAAGAAAATGACTAAAACAGCCCTCGGGACCCGTGTGGCA